AGAGCCACAGAATAGTTTGTGCTATGACTATGTAAACACCGAACACACCAAAAGAAAGAGTAGACTCTGTTCTTTCACCAGGAAAAAAAATGTGTTTCTACCTTATTCCGTTCTTCCTCGACTTGCGTCTCACCGGCGACATGTTCTCTCATAGAACCGTTACCTTTTTCTTATTTGCCTACAGTCTATGCTCATCTCCCATCAAAAGTGGCACTGCCCCCTAGAGGGTCAATTTGTTACTACATACTCTGTCTAGAAGCCTGATATTTACGGACAAGCTTTAGCAGATCGTCCCCCAGCCACTCGCGTTGAAAAACATAAAAGGCAGCCAATGAGTTGATGGTAAAAATAATTTAATGGTAAAAACTTTGCTCAAAATCATATTCTACACAATCAGATACACCTGATAACAGGATTTTACCATAATCTAAATGTAAAAAAAAAAAAATGGAGAAAATAATCGACTTGGGGTTTTTAATTGTTTTTTAATTGTTCATCAGGATATTTGCTCCTACAGTGATATTACAAACCCATTTTACGGTCAGATGTGAGCTTTCTTAACACTTTAACTCCCTGTGCATCATAACTGATTCACACTGTGTCTGAAATATTATGCATCTGGGAGCTAATGCATCATTTTATTGTAAAAACTTTGCTCCAAACCCGGTTTTCCACAGTCAGAATCAGTTGGTAGCAGCAAGCAGAAAAACACACCGCAATCATTTGGCCGTATCGCACTAATAAATGAGGAATATTCACATATTTTTTCTTTTTGTCATAGTTTGTTAAAGGACCAAATAAAGACGTCAGACTAAAATAATGAAAATTGTCTCTGTTTTTTCTTTAGATGGACCAAAAACAGAGGAGTTAGCCCCATGACGACCTGCATAAAAACACAAAACTGGACAGAAAAATGCAGAAAAAAGAAGATAAAGGCAAACAAAAGGACGACCAAAGTCCTCCCTCTTGGGTCCTTTGGTCCTCCAAAGCATTTGTGATACCGTGATGCAACCGTTTGAAAAAAAAAAGAGACTCTGGTTAAACTTTTGACTTCCGTCGTGAACTCCCTTTTGGGCTTTAGCTGTGGAGTGATTATCCCGCTCAAAAATAAAGCAGCTTTCACACATTTGTGGCCACTGAGAGAAATAATGCTTCCTTTCTATTCTGATGAAGAGCAAAAACCCCCGACCAAAGAATAAAAAAACAAAAAAAACCATCATAGCTATAAGTCGGCCCTGATTACCATAATTCAAACTGATAAAATGACGGAATTAATTAAAATCTAAGGCCAAACCGAGTCATCCACGGTCTTAAATGGTCCACACAAAAGAAACCAGAGGCTGAAGCAGAGCCAGGAGCTCACTCAGACCCAATCAGGCCGCTTCTTTAATTGGATTTGAAATGAAAGCCACTGATCTGTCAGAGAGAAGAAAAAAGAGCAGTTCTGAGCCTCAAAGTTGCCTTTTTCCAACACTGACGTCTTTTAGCTGCTTCTGCCGAGTGTCTGAGCCCTGAAATTACAATAACGCGCATGTTTTTAGAGGTTTTTAGAGCTTTTTTAATTAAAACAAATGGTAATTAAAAAGAGAATCCCGCACTTTTAGTGGATTTAATGAGTGTTGGTCCGTTTTTTTACAGCAAATCCCAAACAGGGAAAAGAGAAAACAGAGAAATGAAGGTAGAAGATGAGCATTTCCACCACAGATGAACCTCGTTTTTACTGAAACGCACAGTCTGCGTCTGCTCTTTGGTCTTTTTTCACTCCATTTAATTCATAAGGCCCTTTGCCAGTAGAATAAAACAAAACGAGTGATTTACAAAGAGAAAAAAGCCAGGAAGAATAAAACAGGTGTTTTCCCATCCAATCCCCAACTCCCAACCTATTACGAACAAAGAAACAAAAAAAATGAAGATAAAAAAGATAAAAATAAATAAATTAAAAAAAACAATCAATTAATTAAAATTAACTAAAATACATTTTGAAATTAAAGTAAAAAATAATACAACACAAAATAAAACAAAAATGAAAAAAAACGATCAATGTGAAATGAAAATAAAAATAACATCAAATAAAAACATAATTATTTAAAGAATAATAAAGTAATATTAGACTTATAGACTAAAAATAACAATCAAAT